TCAATGAAAGATCTCCAGAGACCACACACCAGAATATTCGCAAAGATTTGTATTCCGATCGAATAAATCAGTGTCCCCGATAGAGAATTAAATTCTACATCGATTTATAATCTCTCATTATTTCCTAAAAACCAGTAAGTCCATCAAAAAAATCAAATACTCTTCAATAAAAGATCTCCAGAGACCACACACCAGAATATTCGCAAAGATATGTATTCCGATTGGATAAATCAGTGTCCACGATAGAGAATTAAATTCTACATGGATTAACAGTTTCTCATTATTCCTTAAAAATCAGTAAGACCCTTAAAAAATCAAAATTCTTGTAAATGAAAGATCTCCAGAGAGCGAACATTAAAATATTGATGCAAAACGGTGTTCTGGTTGAACAAATAAATATCCTTAATAGGGAATTAAATTGTAAAGACGGGCGCGATGATTAGTCCGAATTGTCCGCATCACCCGTCAGGTCTAGTCTACAACGTCTTGCACACTCGTCATGACTAGTCACCTTTTAGAGAAATGTCCTTCAAACTCGTCTAGACTAATCCAGAAAGTCCTTGAACCCAGTCATGTCTAGTCCACTTTGTCCTTTGAACCGGTCCAGACTAGTCCGAAGAGTAAAAAAAGAAGATGAAAGATAGATTCGAACACCCAATCCAACAGTATTCAAAACCAGACGGGCATCCTGACGGCAGACTAGGACCTTGAGATAGACTGACATCAGTTTATATAGTCTAAGATACAGAATTGACTCTAGTCCATCCACTAGACAATCAGAAACCAGTCGATGTCACACGACTTTGACTAGTCTAAAACGTCTTTGATAGAGTCAGGACTAGTCCGAAGCGTTGTCTGCACACGTTATGACTAGTCCTTTTTTAACGAGTATATCATCCGTTCTAGTCAGACTAGTCTGAAAACTCTAAACAACCAACTTCCTTTGGACCAAATATATCTTGTCAATTCGTTTATACTGATCAATAATGGAAAGCACAAGAGGTAGAATGCGAGTAGAAAACTTTTCAATATCTATATCATTTGTTAAAAATAATCGATAGATAATCAGATCCATTTAGAACATGGACTAGATAGTAAAATAACAATCGTTTTATTTCCTATCTTGTACTGAAACCTTTGTGGATTGATGATTTGGCATGATCTGTTACAATACCTTACTTTGTGAATATTATGATGCGTGGTCTCTGGAGATCTTCCATCTAGAAGTATTTGCTTTATTCGAAGGTCTTACTGATTTTTAAGAAATAATGAGAAACTATCAATCAATGTAAAATTTAATTCTCTATCAAGGACACTTATTTGTTCAACCAGAACACCGTTTTGCATCAATATTTTAATGTTCGCTCTCTGGAGATCTTTCATCTAGAAGTTTTTGATTTTTTGAGGATCTTATTAGTTTTTAGTAAATACAGGAAGACTATAAATTGATGTAAAACTTAATTCTCTATTAAGGACATTTATTTGTTCAAATAGAATACCTTTCTTTGTGAATATTTTGATGCGTGGTCTCTGGAGATCTTTCATCGAGCAGTATTTAATTTTTTCGAAGGTCTTACTGATTTTTAGAAAATAATGGGAAACTATCAATCGATGTAGAATTCAATTTTCTATCGGGGACAGTGATTTATTCGACTAGAATATCTTTCTTTGCGAATGTTTTGATGTCTGATCTCTGGAGATCTTTCATCTAGAAGTTTTTGATTTTTTTGAGGGTCTTACTGATTTTTAAGGAATAATGAGAAACTGTTAATCGATGTAGAATTTAATTCTCTATCGGGGACACTGATTTATCCGATCGGAATACATATCTTTGCGAATATTCTGGTGTGTGGTCTCTGGAGATCTTTCATT